ACCCAGGGTGGGGCAACACCCTTAATCCCAGCATTACACATGCTAATCCAGACACCTTCGAAATGCCCTACCTATGACTGCATGAGGTTTTGGGGTCATATCTAGATACAAGCCATAACATGTGAGAAATAAATTTGCTATTTAATCCACCCAGTCTGTGGTACACTGTTATGGCAAAGTGAGCAAACTAATATGGTTCTTGTATCTTCACTTAGTTCTTTAGACTTTAGTTCTTTGAACATAATTATCATTAAGATAAGATCATTGTGACTTTGAGACCAGCCTAGGCTATGAAGTGAGCTCAAGGCGAGCCTAAACTGCACAGTGAGACCCTGTCTCAAAAAACAACAACAAAAACCCAAGATAACTGCCTTTGTCTAGTAAGTCCAGTATCTGAGTTTCTTCAGGGGCAGTTTGGCAGTTTCTATTTTATTGTTTTCTTTACTAAACAGGAGAAATTGTTTCTTATATGGCATCTTGGAAAAACAGATTCTCCCTCTACGCAATATTTGTTGCTGTTGTTTAGTAACTTGCCTGAATGTTATGAAAAGGTTGGATTCTTTATTATATGTAGCCACTGACCTCTGGGCTATATTAGTGCTCAGCTAGTGACAGGACATTTCATTAGATGTTTGGAACCAGTAAGTCTCCCCATCTGTACACAGAGATGTGTCTAAACACACATTAGGGCATATCTTTAACACTCAATGAGCCAGTTTATAACTGTGTTAACCTGCACTCCTGCTTGCAGAGGGCCTCAAGACCAAACAGAATCGAGAGCTTAAGGCTTTCTTTGGTCTTTCCTCAGCCTTATACTTGTGTATAGCCTTCTAGATTCCCAAAAACCTATCAGAGCTTTACAAATTCCCTTATAGACATCCCATTTCCTAGCTGCTTTTGAGCTAGCCAGTTGTTTGCCTCAATTGTTATTCACCATTACAGGGACTCGAGCACTAGGCATTTCAACAATTGCTTCTACTTGTTTTTTTTTTTAAATATATTTGTTTATTTATAATTTGTGTGTGTGTGTGTGTGTGCGGGTGTGCGCGGCCAGCTCAGCCCTCCAGGGGGCGGGGCTAACTGGCATGTGGTGCTGGGGGATTGAACTGCGGTTCCTGTGGTTTGCTTAGCTTAGCTTGTTCTAAGTAGGTGCTTTAGACCACTGAGCCATCTCACCAGCCCGCTTCTACTTGTTTTTAGAGAACAAGGTGTAAGGGGGATTGGCTGGGGGGTACTATGTAAACTCCAAGTCAGGTCAAATGCAGAGAGTCTTCTGAAAGCAGTCTTTCACGGAAAAACCAGTTAGGTAAAATAATGACACATTCTCTAGAAATGGAACGTTAAAGGAACTCTCATTCTGCTCTTTTCAACAGAAGCTTGTTTACCACAAATGAAGACTCTTAGTTTTCAAGGCTATCTTGGAGCTGGAGAGAGGGTGGTGGGAAAGAGGCAAGTTAAAACAACAAGTTTGCTGGGTTTGCCCAGATCCAGTCACTTTTCTTGAATAAATGTTCCCAGCTTGCTCCAAGTCTGTGGTTAATTCCCAATGTTCTGAAAAAACTGATTCTGACAAGTTTTGCCAGTGTTGTCACTGCTTTTATGGAGGTGTGTGCATATTCACTCTTTCTTTCTTTGTGAGACAAAGTCTAGCTATGCAGTTCTGGCAAGCTTTGAATTATGTAGCCCAGGCTGGTCTTGAACTTGAGGCCATTCTCCTGCCTCAGCCTGCAGAGTGCTGGAATTCTAAAAGTGCACCACCACACCCGGCTGTTCTTTCATTTTTTCTGACATCCTCTGCAATGAATTTTGAAAGTCCTTTAACCTCAATCCATACATTTAATACTTTCATTTTTAAGTTTCAATATTTACATTTCTCATTTACCTTTTCCTTTTAAGTTACTAAAAAATGCTTAACTTTGAGTATTTCTTCTGTTTATACTAATCATTAATTTTGATTATATTGTAGTGTTAACAATACCTCTCTTCTGTGGTATTAATTTTCCTCAAATGACTGATAAATTTAGGTAATAAGTACAGCTAAATAAGTTTTCCTCACAGTGCATGAGAACCTTTTTTTCACTCATTGGTGCACACAGGCTCCAGATAGCTACTAAAATCATCTCTGTTCACTATGGAAGACAGACAAAATATTCACTTAGGCATTGTCTGCAGGTAATTCATTTTCTAAATATGAATCCTTGTTTCTTCTAAACATCACAAATTATGTGAGATATGGCTGGTTTTCAATACCAAAACTTGAGAGAGGAGCTTTCACAGTTTAACTTCAGGAAAAATACTATAGTTATCTACTCTGCTTTTTCCTTCATTTTTGTTGTAAAGGTCTAGAGTAACTTCAAGCTATATTCGCTTCTTTCTTTAGCCTCAAAATTCATTCATTTCTAAAGTAACGATTATTGGGGTTGAGGATACAGCTCAGTGGCTTAAGCGACTGCCTGGCAAGTACAAGGTCCTGAGGTCAATCCCTAGTACCAAAAAACGAAAACAAAACAAAAAAAAAACCCCAAAAGCAATTATTATGTGTCAGACACTAGTCTAGGTATTAGGGATTCATTGATGAAAATGAAGTCCACTGCCTCAAGAAACTTTTACTCTAATGGATAAAAATTGTATGTAACATAATATAATTTCATGAAGTGATAAATACTACTGGAAAATATAGGATACAGAGTGACAATAGGCAAGCTAGTTCAGATGGGGTGATAATTTCTCTGAGGTGGCAACCTACTGGCAGAAATGTGGAAAATGGGGCTGGTGAGATGGCTCAGTGGTCTAAAGCACCCACTTAGAACAAGATAGCAAAAGCACAAGGACCACAGTTCAATCCCCCAGCACCACATGCCAGCCAGCCCCGCCCCCTGGTGGGCTGA